TTTCTCTGTACGCCCTGCATTCACCAAACAACTACAACTCCATATCTTTGATGTCCCGATCTGGATCGAGAATACCGTTATCTGCAGTGCTTTGGCTGCATTTGGCCAGATCCAGGGAGACATCCGCCATGGTCAAATTCAAACCCCGTCGGGGATTACTGTAGGGACAGGTATGCGATTCGCCACCATCGACCTGAAGGAGGGATGTCGGCAAGTTCCGTCATTTGTCCGCACAGCCGACCAGCACCAGTTTCGTGTCCGTCACGAGGACCAGAGGGCCACCTGCAGGATCTGCATGGGGGAGCACTTTGCTCGATCGTGTCCGAGCAAGCGGCCCACGAACAAACCACCCACAAATACACAGAGCACCAATTCGGCTGCACTCCCTGGATCACAACTGAGCTCGGGTACAAGTGCGCCCGATGCAGGAGGTAGTGAGGCTGTTGTGAGTGCTAGTTCAGGTAGTAGCTGTACAAACACGGACCCCAGCGCGGAGCCCGAGAGCTCAAATCAATCCACCAGCTCAGCACGCACGCGCACAGAGCCCAAGGGTTCACACTCGTACGCCAGCGCAGCTCAACAGGGAGCCCGCGCACAGTTCAACTGTACGCACGGGGCGGCCGAACAGGTGAGCACTGCACCCGACGGATCCCCTGCTAGTACTAGTACTAGTAGTAGCAAGGATGCAACACAGAAAACCGCTGAAATGAACAGCGCCAGTGCGCCTGAGAACACAACCAGCGACGGGGAATCCAAGGAAATACAGAGCAATACTCCATCCTCTGTCGACCAAACTGAGGTAGCTGAGAGTTCCAGCTTGCAGGTAATCGCTCCCAGTACACCCCCAATGTCCGGCACCCCTCCGCCTACAGGCACTGGGGCAGGCCACGACGACGGGGCCCACCACGGTTGCCTCTGGCGATGCGGATTGGATACCCAGCGGTCCTCGTCGTCGCTGACACAGCCACGGCCATTCGACCATGGAGGAGAAAGCCAAGGCCGATGGGACATGGCCCTCCCCTCAGAGGAAACACCCGAAATACTGAGTCCAGATAAGTTTCAACAACTAGCCAAAAGACAAAAACATAAAAAATAAAAATAAAATTCCCCCAAAAAAAAACAAAAAAAACAATACCAATGTCAGTGAATTTGAACTTTCTCAGTACCAACGTGCGTTGCATATTCAACAAAATGGATGAGTTACTTACCTTTACCCGTTCGTGCTCTGAATCTCAGAACGAACTATCAGTCATTGCAGTCCAGGAAACCTGGGCTGACACATCAGACCCTGACAGTCTCTATGCAATCCCAGGCTACAAGCTGATCAGAGCTGACAGACAGGACTATGGTGGTGGTGTTGCCTTGTTCATAGCGGAACGTTTCAACACAAGGGTACTGACAATACCAATGACAGCAGCAGAATGCATATGGACGAGAATTTCCAACGGTAACCTTTCCCTCGTTGTTGCAAACATTTACCGACCACCCCGTAGCGATGGCACCCTCTTCTGTGCGGAACTGGAAAGAAGCATCAAAACCGCTAGAGCCGAAGGTGACGACCTCCTACTACTTGGAGACTTCAATGCCAAGAACAGTGCGTGGCTCACCACAGACAGAACAGATCGCCTTGGGGACGACATACAAACTCTGCTACACACATACGGCCTCACACAACATGTCAGATTCCCTACTTACATCCACCGACAAACACCTCTCTCATGTCTAGACCTTGTTATCTCCTCACTCCACACCAATGATATTCATATCCAATCACTTCCACCGTTTGGCGCATCCGATCACACTACTATCAGTGGCCACATCAATAATCAACTGCCCCCCATAATTAACAACTCCCCTCCACGATCCAGAAGCACCACATTCTGGTCATGGACAGACAGCACTATCCACCTTCTTCGAGAAGCCCTTTCACGCACAAATCTCAACCACCATCCAAACCAACACGACCCACGCCCAGTTGACACCTTCTGGCGATCCTGGCGCGACAATGTCCTGAGCATCGCCCAAGAACACTGCCAAGTTACTCGCACTCACCCCCCTTGGGACAGGAAGAACGTGCCAGCACGACCATGGATATCAAAGGGCCTCTTGAAAGAGATCAAGGATAAGCACAGAAAACACAGAATATACCTTCACTCACGCTCGCCTGACGACTGGAACACGTTCACTGCCCAAAGAAACCGTGTCACCACCCTCCTGCGTCGTGCTAAATCGGATTTCGTAAACAACTCAACAGCCTCCTCTACTTCCCTACACCGCCTCATGAAGCACCTAACTACAGCTACAAAACAACGCATACCCGAACTCGTCAGCCAAGCAACTCCTGCAACGACACCAGCACAAAAAGCCGCTGCCCTCAACGAATTCTTCATTTCACAGAGCAAGCTGTCCGTGGCCAATGCGGATGAGAAAACTCCAGCCATCAACACCACCCCTGACATCCTCAATCCCCTTCAAGAAATCTCGACTTCTCAAGCTGAGGTCGAAAAACTCCTCCGCGGAGTTGATACCAACAAAAGCCCCGGGTTTGACTCTATTCCAAACCGCCTACTCAAAGAAGCGGCTAAGGAACTTGCACCGTCGTTATCGTCCCTCTTTAATCTATCGTTCCAAACCGGAGAAATCCCACAGGAGTGGAAAGATGCCACCATTACTCCAGTACCCAAGCCGGGTGACCCAACCCAACCAACAAATTATAGACCCATCTCTCTCTTGAGCACTACATCAAAAATCCAAGAAAAAATTGCACATCAACTCCTCTACAAGCACATCACACCCCACCTGCCCAACCAGCAGTCCGGATTCCGCGAGAAAGACGGCACTGAGCAGCAGCTCGCCCGTCTCGTCCATACCCTCTCCACTGCGAGAGACGACGGGAAACACGTCAATGCCTGCTTTTTCGATCTAAGCAAGGCCTTCGATCGTGTGTGGCATGCAGGCCTTCTAGCAAAACTCTCCCACTATGGTGTCCAGGGCACCGGCCTGGAGTGGTTCCGACGGTACCTGTTGGGGCGTCGGCAAAGGGTCCAGGTGGATGGCGACCTATCGCCTTTCCTCGAGATCCCTGCCGGCGTCCCTCAGGGATCTGTTCTTGGGCCGCTTCTATTCCTCGTCTACACCATAGACCTTCCACACGCATGTGAGAATCCCAGCACCACCTGTAGCCAGTTTGCAGATGACACCGCTCTGATTTCCATAGCGAGAACTCTTCAAGACTGCACCCGAAACCTACAACAGAGTGTCACAGCAGCTGGAGACTGGCTTCAAAGATGGCACCTGCTGGTTAACACAAAGAAAACAGTCATCCTCCCTTTCTACCACAATAACCGCCCCCCCCCCCCCCCCCTGAACAGCTACCCCAGATCACCCTCAGGAATAGTCCGCTTACCGTAGCACAAAAACACAAACACCTCGGAATAATCTTTCAGCATGACCTCCGTTGGACGGAGCATGTTGAATACATAGTCAAAAAATCACTCAAGTCTTTCAATATTCTTTTTACACTAAGGTCTACACTCACCAGTGATTCTTTATCTCACATCTATCAGACATACATACTACCTATATTCTCATATGCGAGCAATGCTCTCACACCGTTGTCCCACACTTCCCTTGACAGGCTAGAACGACTCCAGCGGAAAGCCGCCAGAATATGTCTCCACCTTCCCCTTTACACACACTTAGAACACTCCCACCTTTTGCATCGCATCAAATGGCCAACATTATTTTCACGCTTTAAAGTTAAACATATACTCTTCGCGCATTCTCTGCGCCACAATTATGCCCCACCACATATACTCTCGCTGCATACTGCTAGCAACGTGCAACCTTCGTATAATTTACGTCGCTCTCGTACTTGGCACTTGCCAACTCCGCGGACTGACCACTGTCTCCATTCTCCCCTGTACAAGGCCCTTCATTACTTTAATTGCCTGCCCACCCAGCTTCGCGAAATCCCTTCTCGTACTCCCTTCAAATCCGAGATATCCCTGCTGTTGCACAACTCTGTATGCTCGTGTAGCGACCACCCCTGCCCGTACACTTAAGTACGCAACTCTGTATGCTCGTGTGGCGACCACCCCTGCCCGTACACTTAAGTAGTCATTAACCCCTAGGCCCTGCCCACCCAATTCTTCCTCACTCTTTCTCCTTTCTTACACTATTATCTCTTATTGGCCACTGGCTATCGTGAGAATAAAGATTTGAAACAACAACAACAACAACAACAACAACAACAACAACAACAACAACAACAACAACAACAACAACAACAACAACAACAACAACAACAACAACAACAACAACAACAACAACAACAACAACAACAACAACAACAACAACAACAACAACAACAACAACAACAACAACAACAACAACAACAACAACAACAACAACAACAACAACAACAACAACAACAACAACAACAACAACAACAACAACAACAACAACAACAACAACAACAACAACAACAACAACAACAACAACAACAACAACAACAACAACAACAACAACAACAACAACAACAACAACAACAACAACAACAACAACAACAACAACAACAACAACAACAACAACAACAACAACAACAACAACAACAACAACAACAACAACAACAACAACAACAACAACAACAACAACAACAACAACAACAACAACAACAACAACAACAACAACAACAACAACAACAACAACAACAACAACAACAACAACAACAACAACAACAACAACAACAACAACAACAACAACAACAACAACAACAACAACAACAACAACAACAACAACAACAACAACAACAACAACAACAACAACAACAACAACAACAACAACAACAACAACAACAACAACAACAACAACAACAACAACAACAACAACAACAACAACAACAACAACAACAACAACAACAACAACAACAACAACACACGTAACCTGATTAAAATAGTCGCTAAAATTCCAACGACCGGGATATTCACACTGCAGTTTACCGTTAGCGAGCAGGGCTTTGCACTGCTTGACAAACTTGAAGCTACGTATCTTGCACAGATAGGCACCGCCGGGATTGCACTGGCAGTCTCCAGTACTCCGCCTGCAGTAAAACTTGCGCACTGCAAGAAGAAAGGGATAACATCAGCATTGCCATAGCAACACACACAATCAGTGTTGCAAGATGGAACCACGAGTGTGTACGTGTGTGATCTCCGGTAGCCTATTCGGTAGGACACTGTCCCTGAAAGACAGCGGTGCTGGGCTCGAATCCAGCCCGTGGATCCTTCTTTTGCAGCACTGGCGTCCAACGTGAGGCTCGAACCCACGACCCAGAGATTGAGAATCTCATGCTCTCGCGGCTCAGCTAGCCAAGTTCTAAGTGACTCACTCAATACACAGTATGTACAACACTATTCCTCTTCTTTAACCTCATACCCTACCCTTTCTCAAGATAGGAATACTCAAACTGTGCACATCCATTCTACCCGTATTGCCACTTTAAACAGCTTTGCGAGTTTGCACACACACGCATGCACACAAGCACACACACACACACACACACACACACACACACACACACACACACACACACACACACACACACCCACGCACACACACACCTGTCCTGTCCTGTCCTGTAGAGTCACTGCCGCAGAAGGGTCACGTGATCCCATCACTCGGAAACTTGAGAAGAGAGAGAGAGAGGACACGACGCTCGATGACGCTCCAGGTGCGCGGGTAGTCGCATCCGCTTGCCGCATACACACACACACACACACGCAAACACACACGCACGTACACGCACACGCGCGCACACACACACACACACACACACACAAGCACAAAGCACACACATGCAAGCTCTGTCTTCATGCATGACACTGATCATGAACTCACATTTCGAAGGCGCCCTCCTCCTCCACGGCGATCGGAGGCTCACTTGCGAGTTCGAGCGGCTGCCAGTCTTGGTACTTCGTGCGTCACTCTCTGTCTCCACCTGAGATATACTGTTGCTTTCGCTGGACAGCGTCGATTTGACAACTGTGCTCACTGCCAATAAGACAACCACCAACGGCAGCAGCCGGCCAAGGTCTTTCCATAGTACCTGTGAACTACCCGCCATTGCTCAGTTCCTTCTTCACAATCCGATGGTCGTGTGTGGATAGAGGCTATGACGATCCTGCCCTGGCAAAAACTGAAAATAGGTTCGCCTTATCCGGATGCCGCAGTGCCGAAACTTCTGCCGAAAGGTTGTTCCGGTCGAAAAATGCTTGCCTTCTGACAAAGACGTCGATTCGTGGTGATGACTTCCACTTTTATACAAGCAAGTCTGTGTGCCTCGCGGATCTGCACATCCGGCTCTGACTAGCCTCCTCTCTCCAGCGAAGTACCGTACGTTTCAGGTGATTGGAGTGGGTTACGCGCGCTGTGTGCTGATGCGTTATTAGTCGAAGTGCGGCCGGCCAGTCACGATAATTACGTCTGATAACGAAGTAGTAATGCACTGTACAGTAGATCTACACTTGTTGTAAAGTAGCAACGGTTTGTTGTAGTCTAGCCGGCCGAGGTGACAATGTCAATGATTTCCTGGGGCGTCCACACGATCGATCGCATGTGGACTGGTTCTCGCCCGGCCCTGGACGCGCCACCACGCCACCACCAGCACTCCAGTCGACTCTGCCACAAAACAGCATTTAACTCGTACTCATGCCGGCAAGAGTCCACTATAATTATACGCGGTATGTACTCTTGATGCGAATTATTGATACAGTGTCTTGCTACATGTACATGTAGCAAGACTACGATTGTGGTCAAAGAAATCCGTCCAGCGAGCCTATGTATGGCCTAGCGGAAAGCAGCGCCAAGTCGCATGCGACTCCTGCGGCCCTCGGTGTTTGAACCGTGCATAATGGACATCTACCATGTGATTGAAATGGAAACTTGGCGCGACATGAACTTTGGACTCGCAGGTCGGATTTCTTTGGCCACGACTGTACACACCAAAACTCATCATACTTCAAAGTGCATCAAACATGCATGTAGCCAGGACCACCTGTGACATGGTAAATGCAACTCGCCTTACACACCCCATCGTCCGACGACCGACCTCCTGTCCTGTGCACTTCACAAAGCCAATGCCCAATGGATCTACCTACACCCTTCCCAAGTACAATAACTTATTAGTCATGTGCAATCATGTATATGTACATACATGTATATGTACGTATATGTACATGATATTGCAAACTAGTGTACAGGACTCTAGGCTTGGAAAGGTCTTGGCTTATCTGTTATCACACCGGAATGGACGTTGCAGGAAGTTGATACCGCCGAAGTACAATTGCGACTCGCAGACGTCCAAGTCCCAGGCAACAAGGGAGTCCAGAGAGATGGCAGGAAATGCATTCCTCTGAGCACGATGTCGTGAAGAATAATGATTGTCGCTGGACCGCATGTGCGTTGAGATTAGTCTGCTTTCGTCATTGGAGCGAAAGCAGCACCACAATCATACCACTGCAACAGTAGGAATTTGCATTCCACCATCATCCCGGTCATCATCATGATCAGCATCACTGTAAGTTGTGACAATTTCATGTGTGATGGTCTGGATTTGCCGCAAGCGTACTTTTAATGAAGTTGCCGTTGTATGTGGCTAGTTATGTTATTACTATAACCAAGAGTAAAATACAGTACCCCCAGAGTTACGTACTCTTGCTGTTGCTCAATGGAAGTGTCGCGTTGTAGAAACGTGGCCATTAAATTTCGTTACTTTACACGCAATGTTGTTAATGGGGCGCCGAAATCCTGTACAGCGCATGCCGAGATGACTGATAAGCTGCCCCCGGGTGCACTCCCGTCGTCTCATTATAAAATTACCCCACAAGTGCATGTTCAGGGACGGCTTTAGAAACGATGTTTATGTAGGAGTAACCATGGGCGCGACCATGCCGTGTGCACTCCTAACAATCGAATCTCTCCATTTCTACAGCATTATCTTACAGAATGAAGCGAGCCCCTGGGGTGCACGATCCCAATCTGCTTCCACAACAGCAGGTCAATCAGCCATGCACGGTGGCGTTCACAAGTGCAAGTTCACGCACTCAGTCAGTGGTGTACGAGTTCCTTCTTTACCCTGCTGCCTTGCTCGTATCTGTTTCGTCTCTTTGTCCGGTTTGTCTGCTCGTTCATTCGTTCATTCGTTCTGACTTTATTTGAAGGATGCTCCAGAAGTAAACTGATACTTATCAAGGGAGTTGCCTGGAAGGGTGGATGGAATGAAAGGGAAGTTCCCCTTTCCAGTACTCGTACTTCCTTTTCTTCTTTTCTCTTTCTACCAGCAGAGTGGGACCATTGTTATCAGGCTTAAGCTTGTTTTTATACTCCACTTTAACCCTTTGAGGTGCCATTGAACGCGTGAAAATATGCTATTGCAGTTCACTCCACCATTTCCACCATACCTTACGTTCTGTTTGCTTGATTTTGGCAATCCAGGGCTCTTTGAAACGCTCTTTCCGCTGCCAAGAGAATGAGGCCACGCTCAACTCCATGGATGCCACAAATTAAAGCCAGCAATACAAGTAATAACAACTCCGCTGATTGGAATAGGTTGGAGGCCATGGTAAAGAAATGCGCGCTACAGAAAGGCATGGCTAAAGCGAGTTGACAGAGAACCTAGTTCGACTCTGAAGCGAACTTGGGAGCTCCCCTGGAGTTTCTACACTCACTGTAAAAAGCGTTTAAAAGAAACCAATACACTCTATTGACAAGGAAGGGCACAGAGGCACAGGGGCCGAGGATGAATCAGGTCTCAACCAGTATTGCCATTAAACTCTCACAACCTGTCAAGTGCCACGTTCACTTCTATACCCATGCCCATTGAATCGTTTTAATAGCCGCCAAAATGTGGTCTTTAACCACTTGGTGGTGGCTCTGATCTACTCATCCTCCACAGCTGCTTCCACAACAGCATCTTCACCTTGACTCTGGAGGATGGTGGCGTTCCAGCTGATGCGGAAAACTGGGTCTATAATTGTAAACGAGTCTCACGCGAACCATTAATTGTTAAAGAAATAATGTAGTTGTTGTTGTTTTTGTTGTTGTCCTTTTATTTAAAGTCGCACCACAAAAATGGCAACTATGCATTCTTACATGTGTGCGACTATACGAAGAAAATATTCTAAAAGAAATGGAATGGAACGATATCGTGCTAGGAATGCTGGGGAGCGCATCGTACATCTAGGAGGGAGAGCAGTCAGGAACACCCTAAAATCAGGATTGCGGACACCTCTATTTGCAACTACATGTACTTCACCATTAATTTTGTAGACCTCCTGGACATCCCTGCGTAAATGAGGGGCTTACTGATGCGCCAATATTAATGTACCTAATCTGTGGACAGCATGCTGTGTCGTCCTTTGTGGACTCGTCACGACATCAGCGCGGCACAGAGAAAAAATGAAGCCAACGAGCCTGAAACATGTACCTGAAGTGATCTGGCTGCAGCTGGCGTGTGTAAGGACTTCGACTGGTAACCAGCTTACGTGCACATGTACAATTTTTAGATAAACCTTGACTAGCATAATGAGGGTCAGAACCGGGTTCAACACCCATAATATGGTTCAGATTAGGGGTGTGCGGATAATGCTCGAAAAGGTGGCAGGTTCTGCTCGAAAAGCAGTGAAATTGGCAGAACCATACAAACCTTATGGCGGGAAATTCCTCGAATTCTGCTCCATTTCTTTATCCACATACCAAACATGCATGAAACGTACCAGAAAAAGTACCGAATTCTGCCAATTTTTCTGCCAATTTTCCGCATATGCCTAGTTCAGATGGTCCCAACGGACCTGGGCTCTATCAACCGTGGATGGTTGTAGTACGGTCACTGTTTCCGAACACAGTGTCCTCCACCTTTTTGTTTCATGCTGTCAATCTAACAACATGACTGTATCATCACCTGTTCGGACGACCCATTTTAGAACAATTAAGCAGTTAGCGTTGCAAGAGTTACATGCATGATGTCAGTGTGATTCCCGGTGACCTCCGCAAAGCGCAAAAGACGCAATTATCGGTATTCGCAATGACGAATCATGACCCAATTACAGGATAGTACCGGTACTTACAACACATGTACATGTACTATTAGCGGTGGAGGTGGTATTGGTGCTGGTCGATTTGCTGGTGCCTGGTGGTGGAACTGAAATCAGGTGATCAGGGTAGTTGTCATATGCATGGGTCCCTCCTGCTCTGCACACTCGCTCTCTGTAACAAAATCGTAAACATTTTCTTAGCAAGAGTGTAGCAGGGCATCCTGCAGCTTCATATCTGGAAAATCGTTGAGGGCAGAGCGGGTCTTTCCCAAAACCACTGCAGTCATCAAACTCCTTCCCATTAAACGGCCAACTTTGCAGCGTTCCAGCAAAGTTGCCATCATCAGGTTTGCAATGGTGTACAAGCTCGCAAAGGAGCAGTCTTCTAGTGTAGCACTGCGCTGCATCGCACCCGTTGTGACCTGTTTAACTATGGTTTATGGTGTAAACTGGGACCAACATTATTTTAGTGCCAACAAAATTGTAAGAAAGGGTTTTCTCCCCGTACCGGAGCCGGCGCTATTCCACCGACTTGACTTGACACTTGACTGACTCACGACTGTCGTCCAGAGCACACGAGAAGTCCATCGAACCTTCCACTCGGCAAACCTGCAAGAAAGCACCACTCCCTGCTCAATACACAGTGTTTCGGGGAATTCACCCCTCATCAGTTGAGCTTGAGTAGGCTGAGGAAGATTGTGCCTGAAGAGCACTACTTGTATAGTGCTCTCAAGGCACAAACATCACCAGGGATACAAACTTACAGAGACGCTCCGTTTCCAGCTCGACAAACACCTCGTGAACACCAGATAGCAGCGTGGGTCAGTGTCGCTCCTGGACGCCAGGACGGTGAGAACAGACGTCGAGGTCCCTCGGTCATGATTGTGGTGATACGTTCATGTACATGTACGTCAATAGCACAACACTTCACACACACAGACACACATACACGCACGCCCGCACACACGCCCGCACACACACCACACATCCACGCACACACACACACACACACACACCACACACACACACACACACACACACACACACACCACACACACACACTCACTTTTTTTGCCAAAATAATATTTAATTAATGCCAACATAATAATTGTGAAAAGAAGAAGGACAAAATGTTACGAGTTATGGCCAACTGTAACATAACAATAACATTAACATTTTGTCCTTCTTCTTTTCACAATTATTTTGATTGGCTCACCATCCGAGTACATTTTGCCAACATAATAGTTACTTTTTTTCAAATATGACGAGTGCTTACACCAGAGACTTGTAACTGATTGATTTCACTACATACTACAGTATAATGTCATAAAAATGGCACACACACACACACACTCACTCGAATCCACTAAACCACCAGAGCGCCAACGGTGTACTATTGAGTATTGTGTAGCGTGGGCACTCTGGTGAGTCAGTGGTGACTCTCCATCACGTACATTCACACAACTACAACGTGACCTGAGTGTGAATCTGCTCACTGAATCACTTGCTTACTGTTTGAACCCTTACCAAAAAAACTGTATAAATCCTTTGAGGTGCCAATGAAGGCGTGAAAATATGCAATTGCAGTTTTAAAGTGTTACTGAGTCTGTAAGTGCATTCATGTTCCCTCAATGCTTTTTTTTTGTTCTTTTCATGCTCATACATGTCTGACCTGGCAGCGTGGCAGCGTGAATCACCCTGCTTACTCATACTGTATGTGCTCAGTCTTCAGTTTAGTTCAGTAGTAATACGGTAATAATTAACAGTGTGTTTAATAGGCCTTTTAGAGAACAGCAGCGGAAGCATGTATAGCACGGCTGTGCATGTTGTTATTATTATTATTATTATTAGACACAATCTCATAGCATGTGACAAGCATAGCTAATGCAGGGACAGAATCCCCTGAGACAAGGGCGTTGAGCCAGCCACGGCAAAAGTAAGCTAGGAAAACAAAGCAAATATGAATTAAAGCAGAAAATGAATGGAAAATTACAAAGAAAAACGATTAACGGAAGTGAGCACTATCAAAATTCGTGCATCACCCAGGTATTCGAGAATGTTCTTCGTTGTACGCGTATCTGTGTTATTATTACTTGAAGTATTATTATTACAAGTATTATTTTAACAATCAAAGCGAGAAATGAACAAAGGAGAAAGGAAGGAAAAACAACGTGATAACACATAACAGCAGTACACCTAGAACATTAACGGCCAAGCTTGGCCGCACTAAACACGACACGTTACTTGAACAATTTCAACCCAATTATACTATCTTTCTGTACACACAAATATTATTATTATTTATAAAGAAAGGAAAAGGACAAAATGTTACGAGTTATCACAAACTGTCCACCAACGTAACCAGATCTTATACAGTCAGCGAGTGCGACAAAATGGCACAAAACTGACAAGGAGTACTGAGACATTGGGCAACCTGACACCTAGCTCCAACACTTCTCCAAGGCGCAAACCAACAACCTTCCCCTCTTGGACCTTTCCGAACCTGAGCCTTCCAAGTTGGAAGGTTGTTGGTTTGCGCCTTGGAGAAGTGTTGGAGCTAGGTGTCAGGTTGCCCAATGTCTCAGTACTCCTTGTCAGTTTTGTGCCATTTTATCGCACTCGTCGACTGTATAAGATCTGGTTACGTTGGTGGACAGTTCAAGTTGTCATAACTCGTAACATTTTGTCCTTTTCCTTTCTTTATCATAACTATATTGGCTCAACATCCGAGTTTAAATTATTATTATTATTATTATTATTAGGCCTTTGCGGATCGATAATGCCGGCAGAAAAATTGGCAGAATTCGGTACTTTTTCTGGTAAGTTTCATGCATGTTTGGTATGTGGATAAAGAAATGGAGCAGAATTCGAGGAATTACCCGCCATAAGGTTTGTATGGCTCTGCCAATATCACTGCTTTTCGAGCAGAATCTGCCACCTTTTCGAGCATTATCCGCCAATGCCTACAGTGTGTTCACTGAGACCCGAGTGGATTTGCTTCGGAGAGAGACTGCGGCCCGCTACACATGTAGCAAACACTAGCAACCAGTGTGAAACACCACAACTGTTGTACATGTATCTGCCAGGGTAACCCTGGCGAATAATGCTCGAAAAATTGGCAGATTCTGCTCGAAAAGCATTGAACTTGGCAGAACTATACAAACCTTATGGCATTCCTTGAATTCTGCCCAATTTCTTTATCCACATACGAAACACGCATGAAGCATACCAGAACATTTGCGAATTTGCCTGTTTTCTGCCGGCATTGTCCGCCCAGGGGTAGCAGTCTGTATGTCTGCTTGCACGAAACTAGTGGCTTCTTCGACCCTCCTAAAAGGCTAAAGCCGGTTGCTGGCTGTTGTTGTTGTTGTTGTAGAAGTTTATTTAACGTCGCACCACAAACAGGCGATTTCGCCTCCTTTGATACATGTGGACGACAGAAGGAATGAGAGACAGAGGGGGGGGGGCAGAAGAATGGAGAGAGGAAGGGTAGAAATAAATAAGCAATCAACCTCAGGGCTACACCAAAGCAAAAACGGAAAGGGAACATACTATATACAAAATAGCTTCATACATATAATTATTGCAAAAACACGTTTAATATTCTTCAGTACGCTATACCACAGAAACACACTAGCCGAAAAGCATTTAGACGGAGCCATGATGCGCTTTTAGCAGGGCACAGAACTGAAGGTGGCTGGGCTCGGAACGGAGATCAGGCGGGAGCTGGTTCCACAGGACTGCGCCGATGAACTGCATGGTCGCTCGACCCGCAGGACCGGGCCAAAATGGTACTCGACGAGGTGATGTGCTGCTCCCCGAGTGCGGTCACCAGTAACTCTCACGAAGAAGCTGGTGAAGAGGGAGCTAGCTCGGGAGAACAGACAACGACGGACAAAGATGAGGAGCTTAATGTTAAACATGTCCTCCAGGGTGGTGAGGCGGAGCTGTTCAAAGATCGGGCTCGTGCGCGACCACGGTGGCAGACCGAAGAAGCCGCGGATAGCGCACTTCGTTAGACGTGTGAGGGGCTCCATGTTGCCAATTTGAAGTGACGGATAAAAGGCGTTGGAAGCGTACGACAACCTACCCTGGATCATCGACCTCTAAAACAGGATCTTTGACGCCAGGGTGAGGCTTCGGCGGCTCCGCCACAGCGCACCTACTGACTTCCGCACCTGCTGGATTGTGTGATTGACGTGAGGCTCCCAGGAGAGCTGCCCATCTACCATTACGCCCAGGTACCGCGCTTGTTCCACAACTGCAAGGGCTGCATTCCCACAGCGAATTCGAATGTTATCTGTGTCAGGGGCTGGGCCTCTTGGGGTAATCAACAGAGCTTGCGTTTTCTTTTGGTTCAGCATTAGTCCGCGGTCCTCCAACCACTGCGACAGGCCAGTGATGGCTGTGCTTAGAGAAGAGCACAGCTGTTCGCAACTGCCCGAGGCTTCAATTGCAATGTCGTCTGCAAATTCCTGGTTTGTGATCTGCTGGGGCAAGCAGCATCGAAGGTTACGGAGCTGTTCAGCAGAATGATCATTGGGCATATTTTTTTCCCAACTGGTGACGATGCGCTGCTGCCGAGCTTCTTTGTCCTTGCTTCTCCCTTTTCCTGAAATATGACGGTTGGATACAATGTGGTCTTTCACCATGCTCTTTCTCAGAGTGTCCACTACCCAGTGTGGCAACACTCACTCGCTCTACCGCTTGCCAGCCGACACAACTACATAGAGTGCACCTACTACAGTAGCATATTCCTCGGGAACTCAGTCCTCCACTCTCTGCAGATTGGGCTTACTTTCACTCGTGTGACTCGGCTCGTTTTGGCGTCACTGCAATGTACAATGTACCTTCTCCAGTCCTCTCCATAGACAGCTTTCGTGATACAGTGGCCGCGTGAGCCAGCCTGCTCAACAAGATCTTGCCACTGGCACTGTTCACCACAATACCTCCCCCCTCTCTCCAAGTTTTCCCATGCCTGGGTTACTTGGATCTCATTCGCTTCCTTGTCATTGGACATCTTCAGTCACTTCGGTTTGCGAATTCAAATAAACAAAACCAACCAACATATCAAAAACGTTAGCGTCCCAGTCCGACTCAGTAGACCACGGTAAATTGCATGGTCACGCCTACTAATATACTTTTAAACCACTTGCAGACTACAGAGAAGACTGGTGGAGATGGTTATTATAGCACTACCTAGTACAGACTGTACAATGTACTGTACTAGCAAGTTGTTTATGTGCTCTTGGTACCATGGGTACTACCGGTACTAGGGATCCACCGCCAAGGCAGAATGTATTATGGCCGGAGACGTGTAGGTCTGCCATGCGAGTAGTCTGTAGATCTATCATGATCTACCCGGGATGCTGTCTGCAACTTTGGCCCAGTTCTTCGGCCTGGACAGGGATGTGTGTTAGCCCTTGGCGCCGGCAATGCTCGAAAAAATTGGCAGATTCTGCTTGGAAAGCAGTGAAATTGGCAGAACCATACAAACCTTATGGCAGGTGACTTCCTTGAATTCTGCTCCATTTCTTTATCCACAAACCAAACATGCATTGAAACATACCAAAAAAGAACGATACCATTTTTTTCTTCCGGCATTTATCCACCCAAAAGGCAAAAGCTAACAACACGCACATGACGGTGCAGCCGGGTAGATCTACCCTAGAGAAATATGAATATGAATAAATCTACCGGGGTTGTGCTTGTGTATTTTAAAAGTTGTGGCCCTGGCTGTGGGTGAAGAGTCAGCCCATGTCCAAGAACTGTGTGTGTGTGGGGGGGGGGGGGGGGTGTATCGTGATGTGTCGACATGTCGTGCACTGAATCCAGGTTCGGCGAACTGTTGATGATGTCTTGATGACATAAAAAAGTGCTTTTGATGACATCATTCATTCGCTTTCAAAAACGTGAGGAAGCTTGCTCTTCGCAAAAGTGCTCTGATACATTAAATTTTTTCAATAACCTTGCAATTGTTGCATTTGCACTGGCCCTTTCTTGGATGTATGCGCAAGTGTGTCTTCTTTGTGCGGCTATACGTGGGATTCTCTTGGCCGACAACATGAGTTGCTGACAATAACGTATTGGCTCTGTGGAGCGACTTAGGACATACCTGAATTGAGTCTGGTGGCTATTGGGGCCATTGAAATTTTCAAATATTTTTTCGGACACATCGCGCTTGTAATCGAGTAGTTTCCAGGTACCAGTGTTGTCGAGAGCAGCTCCAACAAGTGTACGTCAGGGTTTTTTTAACAGCTAGCATGCGTCTGAAGGAGCTTGAAGGCGTTCTGCAGCAGGTGGAGACGTTCCAGAGTCCCAAAGTGCACCTTGAACAGTATGCCACGTCCGCACAGCTCGCATCGCACATTCTGTACACGGCCGAGAACAGCTACGACGATGTGTGTGGCAAGATGGTGGCCGACCTGGGCTGCGGCAGTGGCGTGTTCACCATTGGTGCACGATGCCTGGAAGCTGCCTATTCCGTGGGCTTCGATATCGATGAAGACGCACTGGCTCTGGCGTCTCAGAACCTACTTGACTTTGAAATGGACTGCGTGGACCTGGTTCGCTGTGACGTCACTGTGGACTCTGTGGAAGTGAGTGATGCAAGCGACTCGGACGATGGTGATGATGAGGAGGAGGAGGAGGCCAGCGATTCGGAAGACGACGACGTCACTGGATCGAAAGGCGACAGTAAGGAGACGGATGTTGGTGATGGTGCGGCTTGCGCAGCGAGTGAACTGGAATCAGCACGACCGGGCACTACGAGCTCAGCCGCAAACCCGACAGCCATTGCTACAGCGACAGCAGGAGGGGAGGACGGATGCAGCCAATGGAGGCGCTGGAAAAATCAGTTTGACACGGTCTTCCTGAACCCGCCGTTCGGCACCAAGGCGAACGCTGGCATAGACATAGCGTTCTTGAAGCGCGCCATACAGCTGAGCCGCGGAGCGGTGTACTCACTACACAAAACAGCCACTCGCAAGTATATCAAGCAGCTATCCGACAAACAGCTCGGTGTGGCGTGCGAGGTGGTGGCGGAGATGAAGTTTGACCTGCCCAAGACGTACAAGTTCCATCGAAAGAAGTCGGTCGATGTCGCCGTCGACTTGTTGAGATTCGACTGCTCTAGGTCGACCATGCTAGCGGCATCATGATAGCAACCCAGCAATCTACTCCACCCCTGAATCACCCACTGACCCAATGCTGCAGGTGTTGATGATGGTGTTGCCATGACAGTTTTTGAATGGTATCCTATGGTGGCATGCGTGGAATGTGCTGGCACCAGTTGACCAGCGGCACTGGGAGTATTGTGACTGCAGGCCGTGTTGACAACGGAGCTCGTGCATCATCGGTGCGTACACCTTTCTGCGCAGCTACTGCTGCTGCCCAGTTGACAGTGTGTGCATGATGGATGCGGCACGGTTCGTCTACCGGTGATACAGACCTGTACGCCATTAGTCCGGAGGATTAGCAAGACGAAATTCGCGTTCGCGTTCGCAAACATTTTTCAGTTCGCGAACTGCACTGCGAACTTTCGCATTTTTCGTTCGGAAAAGTAGTCGGAACACGAATCGCAGATTCGTGTCAGGGCTGTCATAAATTTACCACGCTGTACTGTCTGTAGACAATGTACATGTACGTCGTGTCAACGTCATGCATGTGCGAATTCTGTTTGCTAATCCTTCTCATAACGCGAATTCCGTCACTGAGTTCGACTTTCCTTGGAGAGCGAACGCGAATTTCGTCTTGCTAATCCTCCGTAGTGTCGTGTGAGGTAGCAACTGCTGCTAGGCCGGAGTGGCCGCGCATGCTTCGTGATCAGCAGCAGCAGTGTCCACTTACGTAGGGCAATATCAAGACGAGACGTGCACGTTGCTCCGTTGGCATCCTGCGTCCACAGCGCCGCACCGCAATGACAACGGTGGTACGCAGGAGCTGATGGCGACGGCAGTGCTGATTGTGGTCGCTGGAATCGCAGAGTGCCGCCTCGTGCACATCCCGTTTGGATGACCAACGCCTTCGTTGTTGTCTTCGCTCGCACTGGTTGCGAAGTACAGGCTCTGCGCGGGCATGACCACCGTGGCTGTGTTGCTGAGTACACAGACAGTGCTGCGTGGAGTATTGCCTTCCTGGCAGTACAGCAACGGTGTGCGGCCGTTGGTAATGACGAGACAGACATGCTAGTGCAGCTCCTGACGCCTATTGTATACTGAGGCATGAGAGGTTCTGCTGTCTGTAGTGCTACTCGCCACTTACACCGCGACTAAGATGTAGGTGTCCTGGCCACAGCTCTGCTCTCTGGCAGCTTATGACGACAGGGCACTGCCGAGAGTAGTGCGTGTGCGTGGGTGTGTGCGCGTGTATGTGTGTGTGGGTGTAAGTGTTGGCGCTAGTGCTGCTACAGTGCAGAGACAAAGGTTGCACTCCGGACTAGTCTTGAGTTTGTTCTGTGATTCGTGCGGTCTCTGTCAGCAGCTCTGGACTCTCTGCACCGCTCTGACTACTAATACATTGTATTGTGTATGCACCCTGCCTGCCAACCCCATTGTACCGCTGTACCTCCTACCCTATCTGCAATATCTCTTATGCTGTACCTGCTACCCCATCTGCCCTGTACCCCATACCGCAAACACTGTCCCTATTACCCCCCCTGCCCTGTACATACTACGCCCTTGCCCTGTACCCCATACCCCTGACACCTGTCCTGTACATACTACACATTTGCCCTGTACCTGCTACCCCATCTGCCCTGCCCCTAACGCTGTGCCTGCTTCTACTTCTTTGCCCACTTGCCCGCAACCCCTTTGCGATGCGCCTGGCTGCAACTTGTGCGGTGTTTACCTGCAGGCAACTACCCTAACTTCAGCATGCACATACTTGCACGCTGAATCACAAGCTGAGCGTCTGCAATCGGGCAGTTGCTAAGCCAGTGGCGTGAGCTACGCGCCGAGTGCCATTACGCCAATTTGTAGAGACGTTGAGACGTTGATGACCGAACAGTGCACTGTGTGTACGTGTAGTGCAACAAAAAGTTCAAAAAACGCAGGAAAATTGCGGAAAACGCGGTCTTTTAAAAAATCGCAAAAAACCCGAAAAAACGCGGCCGCGTAATCGCGATTTTCCCCGGGGGCAGAACATGGCATGGTGTGTGTGTGTGGGGGGGGGGGGGGGATTCGCGGCACTTCTGGAAAATATACTCCTGTGTCATGTAACCAGTGGCTATTAAACTGCATACTGTAAATGAACAAGTTTTGGCTGGTGAGAAACTTAAGCTGATCTCGAAATGAAGCAGTGTCAATATATTGACACTGCCAAAAATAAGTCTGGACTCTGGACACATTACCAGACAGATATAATGTACAAACTGGGCTTGCATGCTTTTCACGTACAACATACAACTTGTTCATAATTATAAAGCATGTTCCATATAGGCATTCATCCATATTGGAATTCAGGCCCACATTATTACACATAATTATGTCATAACCAGGGAGTCGTCATAACAGAATTGCAGCATGCAACACTTCCAAATTAGGAACTCCCAATGCTCTTGGGGGCCCCCTAGCATTCTGGCGGCCTACTTGTATCTATGTATAATTTAGTGCCACTCTCGCCTGCATAAATTCTGTTGTGTTTTTACATTTCTCTTCACTCTGATGTGATGAGCACGCCTTAGACAGCGAAACCGGTCAGTCCTTTAGAAAAGATTTGTAAAATCGAAATAATTATGTGTTCTGTGAAACCACTTGTGTCGGGGATGTTTCCCTATTCAAATGAAACTTTTGGCCGTCAACAAACTTTGGCCGATTGGGGCTCAATCGTGCATCTTTTGCCGCAACGACAAACTTTGGCCTGTTGGCAGCGAAATTAAATCGGCAGCGAAAATTAGTTGATTTGTAGTAATCAACATTTTATATCCTGCTCTCTGCGAGCAATGATCTCTTCTCGGTATCGATATCCGCGACTCGAGGTTTTAGAGAATAGCAGTATGCGGCAGTACAGCATTACGATTAATTTTTTTGTGGGAGGTGGACAGCTTTCTGGCAGGCAAACGGGTATACGTATTGATCAACCAAACCAATTTACGGGTACAAGCTTCCCGGGAGCATTCATGCATACATGTATATACCCCGCAATTTTACAGAAAATAATGCCAACAAATATTGCAAATATCGCGGTACAATCGTAAGGGGCAATTCTGAGTTTATCGGCAAGGTGGAGATGAAACTTGAAAATGTTTTTTTGGTGAATCTCTGGAGAAAAGTCTTCTCTACTGGTGTAACTAATTCCTAGGGTGCGTTTGGTTGGTACGATCTAGAACAGGATCGAACAGCTGGTGCACGTGGAGCAGCCTCATGCCAACCAAACGGTACTCCAGAAACAGAGCATATTTTTGTGAAAATATGCCAAACTTGGCGCATTCTTCAAAATGTGTATGGGTCACCATGGTCACTGTGTACGGAACGACGAGTCAAACCCAAAAGCGTATGGACGTGATCATTTGGGACCAAAATCGATGTTCCCGCCAGGTTTCACGGTGAAAAAGTGAAACTGCTCGGTCTGCTTCGGCCTCGAGGCCGGAGCAAGCAGAACATGTTCTGGCCGACCCAGAACAGGTGCAGTCCCAACCAAACGCGCTGTTCTGGTGAATCCTGTTCTAGTTCGTACCAACCAAACGCGCCCCTAGTTTTAATTGGACTTTTGGACAACATTTGAGAATTTTATGAAAAGTACGCGGAAAAATAACACAGACCATCCGTAAGACCTTTTACAAATTTTGTCCCGTGAAGTAAAAATAAGAAGTTTTAATGAAATTGTTTGCAGGCAACGAACCTGATGATGGTCATAAAGACCGAAACGTTGTAACGATACCAATGGATTTGTGTGAAATGCAGTGCTCTCTTGAGTGTAGGCAGGTTGCCTGCAAACAATTCAAGTATAATGAAGCTGCGTGAAGCGTCCTTCAAAATTTTAATAAGTGGGTCGATCATGTCTCCAACTTATCGCAGGTTTACCTTGTAGCAAAATGCAAGAAACCCCGAACTATAGTGGCCTACGACACCACGATCATCTTTCAAGAATCAATCACCAGATATTTTAAAAAGATAAGATTACGGACTACATGAACAGTATTCGACACCCACATACTTGGCACTGGAGGAAAAAAAGAACTTTAACCGAGAGAGAGAGAGAAAGAGAGAGACGGGGAGAGAGAGAGACAGAGAGAGACGGAGAGAGAGAGAGAGAGAGAGAGAGAGAGAGAGAGAGAGAGAGAGAGAGAGAGAGAGAGAGAGAGACAGACAGAGACAGACCGAGAGAGACAGACAGAGAGAGACAGACAGAGAGAGACAGACAGAGAGAGACAAAGATAGAGAGACAAAGATAGAGAGAGAGAGAGACAGACAGACAGAGACAGACAGAGAGAGAGAGAGAGAGGGCGTGCACACACACACACACCCACAATGCACACGGATAGATCAGTTGACAGGTTTGACCTGCTACAAGTCTGCTTCCGAGCAGTGCAACACATAAGACGATAAAAAAATCGAGGGAACAGTACAATGTATGCCGGGACAATAAGAAATGGCTGGATGACCGGAAATTTTGGCAAGGAAAATACGCGACATCGGCATGTCATCAGTTAAAAACTGCAGTTTGCTGCTTTCAAAGCTCTTAGAATAAATACTAATGAACCGAGAGAGTAAAAACGCAGAAAATCGGTCTTTTCAGGCACGAGGTCGCCCGAGAAGACATGCAATCGGGAACGAGCACAACAAAACAGAAATAAAGCAGTAGTGGCGGGGGGCCAGTTGCGGTCGCATCGAGAAGGATGGCCAAAGAAGAAAAGCACAGATCGAGCGGGGAAGACGAGGGTAGATAGGAAGAAAATAGCAACAGCAGCAGTCGCCGCTACACCTACATAGTGGCGGCGGCGACAAGAGCAATACTAGCCATGCTGCGCAGCATTCCCATAGGTTTAATGTGGTTTACATTAGCGCGAGCAATCCGTTTCATACACCAACTAGACCAAGTTCGAAACGGAACTTGTACAGAGTATTGTGCCCCGGGGCGGGAAAACACAAGTTAGCTACGTGGACTAGGAAAACTAAGTGCCGTCATAATCGCAAAAGAACGCAGATATGGTGCTTCGCGATGGGCAGGGGTGAGAAAGTACAATGCAGTATCGCCTGGTACCGCACGGCCTAGCTATGCTAGAGTAATGCGTTGGGAAGAGAGAGAGAAAGAGAGAGAGATAGAGAGAAACAGAGCACGAGCAGTGTTGCTATCACAAGGCTGAGAGATCTCACCAGAAAGAGAAAGTAGTCAGTGGTGATCTTCCAGACGCGAGCGTGCGAACACACGAGCCAGTGTTGTTGTTGTTGTGGCGGTGGTGGCAGTGGCAGAGGACTGGGGGTGACAAGACGCATCATCATCGGCTGGCTAGCACGGCGACTAACAGTAATACATACTTCGTCCAGTTTTTAGTTAGAAGCCCCAGCAATGGACCAGCCTGCTGCTTACGGAACGGCTATTCTATATCTACGACAGAGTCAACATGGATGATACATAGCACTTAGTGACATTGGTAACGGCAACAACGGAGGAAGGAGAGAATACAGGCGAGGTCCTTGGGGAGCCAATGGCCAGATCAAATCGATGTACCCACTGCGAGAGTCAGGGCGCTGGAGGTAACCAACCAACGGCAGATAAGGAGACGTCAAAGAGAAAGAAAGAGAGAGAGAGAGAGAGTGCTGGTGACGAGAGACAATGTCGCATGATGGGACGTTGACCAACGATGAGCACACGTCTACGTAAGCCACGCCCGGTACGATGCTCGAGGATGGTGATGACGATGATGATGAAGATGATGATATTGCAGTCGTTGTTAGTGTTGTTGTTGCTAAAGACGAGTAAAGCGTAGTGATGAGACAGTTGCAACAGCTAAACGGGGAACGGCTGCCAATCAGTAGTAGCTGATGATAATGAGCGTGATTCTACCGCTGGCCAGGATCAATGAGAGAGAACCCATGTGCTGACTGAACACTGGCCAGCGAACATGAGCTCGCCAATCCTGCGTTGCACGGTCGGCATGTCAAAAATGCACAGACAGAACAAAACAGGTGACGACAATGGCGACATCAGCAGCAGCAGGATATTCACTCGACGAGACGGACGGAAGGGTTAGGAGAAAAAAAGGAGAAAATAAATAGCTGCAAGCAAGACACCCGGACGGAAATATGACAAGATGTGAAGAGACGCGGCGGCAGCAGCAATGATAGCCCACCAACATAGAGACGCCGGTCAAGACAGCAGGATCCACTGTACAGAATGATGCAGTGACGTCACAGTAATGCAGGCACTGGAAGAAGACAGACGAGACGGCAAGATGCGACTTGTCGCCGCCAACGCCTGCAGAGCAGAAGAGAGAGAGCGGCCCCGATCAGGAATCAAATCACGTGGACAGCAGCAGCAACGTGGATAGGATGGCGACACAAAGCGCATACCAGCTGGAGCGTCGTGTCCATGCATAACACAGAAAGTCATTGGTTGCTGCCGGACGCAAGCCCAGACCCGAGCATCAGCGCCGGCAAAAGCAGCAGCAGCAGTACTAGATGAGACTGCGACGACGACGACGGGCAACTCCGCTGGAAATCTCCAACATTTGACACACGCACACAGTTCTAAGTGTACACGCGTGGCTACACAGAGCAGTGATGGCGATGCTGCTGCAGTGCAGAGTATCAACGACAACTAGCACCGCATCCTAGCAGAGGCGGCGCTCGCCCGAAACCGCCGGCAGCAGAGGGAAAAACAGGAGGAGAACCAACGGGACTGCAAATGTAATGGACGGTAAGAGACTTACGACGATAGTGATGATAACGAGACGCGACAACGGTGTACAAGGGAAGCGGCGAGAAATACAGATGACAGGTGTATGTACATAGCGGCGACGGTCGTCATGGCCACACAGGCGGCGATGACATAACGGCCGACGACCACCGGGAAGGTGAAACATGCGCAGAGAGCAATACACAACAACGGTCGAGACAACAGAGACCGGTCGGCGGCGATGACGACGACTAGATCTAGTAGCCAGCGTACTGGCGCTGCTGCCCTTGCTGGGCCGGCGTTGGCCCGACGGTCGACTGCTGGGCGTAGCTGGGACCGGCCGTGGCAGGCGCAGACCTGTACTCGTTGCTGTAAGCAGCGGCGGCGGCAGCGTACTGGTGAACGTCGGCCGACGAGGTGGTCACGGTGGACGGTGCAGCGGCCTGCTGGCCGTACGACGAGCTGGCACCACCGCTGGCGTACGGCATCGGTGCAACCGGAGAGTGATTCTCGGCGGCGTAGGCACCGGCCGGGGCGCCGCTCGACGCGGCACCGTAGCCACTGTCGGTGTGGTAGCTGCTGCGATGTGCACTCTGGCCTGTGGTGACACAACAACAGCACACACAGCAAACATGTAAAGCCGGTGTTGAGAAGACGGCAAAGAGAAACTAGCATGGCACAAGAAGCCCAAGGTAAAAGCAAATGACACAAAACACAACGCCAACCTAACAACATTGAGGGAGTAAGGAAAATCAAGACGGGTACTAAGTGGCAAGAGAGTGCATGTGCATGTGTGTGTGTGTGTGAGAGAGAGAGAGAGAGAGAGAGAGAGAGAGAGAGAGAGAGAGAGAGAGAGAGAGAGAGAGAGAGAGAAGAGAGAGAGAGAGAGAATGACATAAAGAAAGGACTCACCAGAAGATCCATTGTAGGATTCGTAGCCACCGGCACTAGCATTGCCGTAACCACCTGTCGTAGCTGGAACAATGCACACACACACACACACACACACACACACACACACACACACACACAAGCATGCACATACACATGGAGGCACACATGCACACACAAACAACACAGTTAGAGAACAGAAACAAAGAATGCTTCTCTGTACCTAAAATTTCTGTTTATCTAACCTGGCCCTTTGCCCTCAAACCGATAATATTGAGCACCTAAAATTTCTGAAACTAGAGATTAGACTCCAGGCAATTGGGAGGAGGTACTCGCTATACGACTATTGTTCAACCCCTGATCACGGTACTGTGCAGGGTTCCCAGATGAGAACTAGCCAAAGAAGAGCAGACTGGTATAGGCTACAAGAAGGCACATCACATCTGTGCAGGGTTCCCAGATGAGAACTAGCCAAAGAAGAGCAGACTGGTATAGGCTACAAGAAGGCACATCACATCTGTGCAGGGTTCCCAGATGAGAACTAGCCAAAGAAGAGCAGACTGGTATAGGCTACAAGAAGGCATATCACATCTGTGCAGGGTGCGCGCCTGGCAAGCTGATACCACAGTGAAACAGTACAGCATAGACTACTAGTGCCCCGGACATGATACCGCTATACTATCCTCTATGCAGATGAAATAGGCTGCTCCTGTGCGAAGCTCATGTCTAATAGGCCAAACGCTACACCACTAAATTTCTGTGAGGCTTGGACACACATTTCGTATTATAGGCAAACAATACAACATACAAGGCAAAGTAAAGAGTATTCTCGGCTTACCATACGATGGATATCCAGCGGATCCGTACGACGGGGCGGCGCCACTACCGCCGTAGTGGCTGGCACCGTATGCTCCGGCGCCCGTGGAGTAGGCGGGGTAGCTGGGACCGTTGTAGGCGGCCGTGGGGGACGCAGCATACGCGGCATTTGGATAGTACGGCGCGCCAGAGTTCGGCGGAGGACCGTACCCACCACGGGGATAGGCTGTGGAAACGACAAAGACAAAAAACAACAACATGACGATGATATTACAGCCATCACCAATAACAATCCCACTACAGCCATCACCAACAACAACTAGCACGTTATCTGTCCAGGCAAGCAGGCAACAGAAGGTGACAACCTACAGACTTGGAAAACACGCCCATTAAGATAACAGTGCCGACGCAAAGAAAACCCGATGTTTTAACCCAGCAGAATTTCCGTAGCACAAACGGTGCAGGATCATAAAGGGACCACTGTACATCCATACAGAAATCCTTACACACAGGATTACACGGCATGCTCCAAAAATTCCACCAGACACCTTTAGAATTTTCACAAAAAAACCCTTCAACGTGCGGAAAACACAGGGATGACGAGCGTCAGTCGGAGTACAGGTAAAAATCACTTACGGTAGTAGGCAGGATCCCAGTACGGGACAGATCTGTTCATGAATTGCGGGTTGGGGCCATTGGATTGATTTCTGGGCTCTGCTTTCTTTATCTCTACCTGCTCAGGCAACAAAAAGAAAGAGAGAGATAGAGAGAAAAAGAGGTGATTTGACAATGAAATAGGCAGCGAACAACACACGAACACACAACATTCATTACTCTGACCCCCCCCCCCCCACCTAAACGTTGTGGCTGAGTGAAAACTCTCGAGAATGCTCGACGGGCCCCATACCCACAGTAAAGGAGTCTCATAACGGCGTACAGCAAAAACATCGCTGTGGGCCCAATCTCGCGAACTAAACTTCTAGCTCGGCAAAAATCATCGACAGGATGGGCCATAACCGCCAAAAGCCCATTACTGAAACTTACAGTTTTGGTATTTATCTGTACATAGTGCTTGGAAACGAGTTCATCGACAACAGATTCAGTATCAAAGGTGACAAAGCCAAATCCACGCATGCGATTATTGGTCTGGTCATACTTGAGGATGACCTCGGTGACCTGTACAGCACACACACACACACACACACACACAGGGTACAGCACAGAGATGAACACCAGAGATGTACAGCACACCATGTACAGCACAACAGCGTACAGCATACCAGAGCAATACACACAGGGGTGCACACCAGAGGAATGCACACCAGAGAAATCTGGGGGGGGGGGGGGGACGAGACGAGGAGGAGATGAAGCAGATGTGTACAAGTTGCGCTGCCTAACAGATAAGCCAAGCTTGGTGTAGCGGTAAGAGACAGACAGACAGACAGAGAGAGAGAGAGACACACACACACACACACACACACACACAACAGAGAAAAGAGAGATGGCACAGATAAAGAGCAACATACCGTTCCGTGGGTAGAGAAAAAGGACTTGACGTCTTCTTCCGTGGTAGTTGGACTCAAGCCGCCGACGAAGATCTTCTTCGTTGGTCCGGTGTATGGACCACGGGAAGCAGCTGCACCAGGAGGTCCCATGACCGCAGTTGGTTGCCATGGGCGACCACCCTCGGGCCCTGGCCGTCCACGGGGAACGCCATTGGGAGCCTGGAGGAAGAATGAAGCGACAACAACGTGCATCCAGTTAGACAAGCAAACAGACACGCATACATGCTCAGTCGAGATACGCAGACCTCAAAGAAGACGGCTGAAGAAACAGCAGCAGTCGAAGTCAAATTGTCTAGCGACAGATAACACAGTGTGCCTCATGTATAATACAGGTTTGGTCATAGTTTAGGAGTACTGTATATCATGTAATTTTAGGTGAATTTAAATTTCAGTATCAGGGACCCGCCAGGTTTCAGCAATTCAGGTGTAATGTAGAATTAGGTGACCAGCCTACCCTTCGCATACAGTGCATACTCTAGTGCCTTTTAGGTGTAATCTAAATTTAGGTGCCTGAATTCTCTACCAAAATTAAAATTACACCGAAAATAACGTGTTATACAGTATTATATTGCTATAAGCAAAATAGCACAATGACCGGTACCACGCTCAACCGTCCACCAGCACCAACACCAGGCCAGCAAAGCCACGAACACCGGATTCCACAACTCAGAGCAGACAGTCGTAGCAAGTTGCTGGAAGCAAACAACCGTCTCTTTCTCTGAGAAGATCTCCGTTGGGTGTCCTGCAGCGCAAGGTTAACAAGCGGGTATCTCTACTGGCACCGTGAAGTCCGCCGCAAACGCCCACCCCAGCTGGTCTGCACTACTTTCGTAACATACGTTGGCTGTTGAGCCTTCCCAGGTCGATCTATAGTCGTACCAGAACAGTCGTCGATTTCGAACTGGTAGGAGAATGACTGTATCGACTACGAACTGCCTACACTTTGCCGAGGTGGCCTACAGAAGTGATTCACATTCTACTTGAAAACAGAAGTGCACTATGCAATTGGCGTATCGAAGACTAAAGACCTGTGTGCATTGTGCACGGAGGCTGTGGGCGTTTAAAGCTAAGTTGACGGTGCCAGCAGCAGCCGGTCGGCAGCCAGATGTCAACAACAGCAGTTGGGCACGAGGCCTTTAACCCGTTGACCGCGAACCGGGCAGAGACAAGCCGTCTACCGGTCAAGCACATAGTTACCTCGTGGTATTCCGGAGCGACACCCGGCACCTCACCGCAGGCAACATGATCGTATTGACACGGGCCAAGATTCGGACGTTCAGACTCGTCATGTGAAATCATCAGCATGGCATGGGGACCAAAATAAAACTGGCATTCCCTGCCACAAACCTTTCCGATAAAATAGCACAGCAGTGAACATTGGGAACAGATGGATTAAGCTCAATGAGAAGAGGGAAATTCTACAGAAAAAAGAATTGATTGTCACCACCAGGACTCGAACCAAACCAGGGACCGTCGCTTATGGCCAGCGCCAGTGTAGTTGTTATCCAAGTAGTGCCTGTTGAACACGTATTATGCTCATCGTCATTGCTATTATTAGTATTATTATCCAAAGGCTTGTGGGGAGTTGATATATATATGCTGTGATGGAAAACTCTACCGCCGTCACAGCACTGGACAGATAGCAAAGACAGTAGCACACCACCGGCGTGTTATACGCCCTTGGTACTGCGTCCCCGCTATGTTATACGCCCTTGGTACTGCGTCCCCGCTATGTTATACGCCCTTGGTACTGCGTCCCCGCTATGTTATACGCCCTTGGTACTGCGTCCCCGCTATGTTATACACAAACTGTATGAAAGACTAGGGTGAGACCGGACCAATTGAAAACTGCAGTTCCGCCGGTCCTGCATGCACTGGAGAGTATTCGTAGCTTACTAGAGCACTAAGCACGAGCACACAATTCAGGTGCGGACGGCGAGCCAATAGTTCAGGTTCTTTCAACAACATTTCACTCGTGCAGTGCTGCTCAATGAAATCCGGTCGCGTCACTCGAGTTTGCGCCTTGCACCATTTCGCAGCCCAGTGTTGGCATGTCTAGGACTACTCAACGCCCGGCCCATACTTGAGTGAAGCGACTGGATTTCATTGAACAGCACTGCGGTATGTTTGGTAGAGTATCACTGCATGTCACCATGGGCGTTCGCAGGCCATCATCAAGATATCACAATACTCCATTCGCCCTCCCATTATTCACATCGGGAACTCGGCTTCTGTACGCAAACTGTGTCATTTTTTTACATCGCACTCTATTAGCAAACAGGACTGCTCTGCAGATACAATCAGATCTTCCCTGTGTCAGGACTCAGAGCTAGCCACCTACCCATTCAATGCCCTGCCTGCACCAAGTATAGTACTTAGTAGCACTACTACTACTACTACTACTACTATAAAGTAACAAAATTTTATTGTGTGATAAGTCAGCTGACAGCAGCCTGCCAGCCAGAACAGTTCAGCACGTGTTGGGTGAATGGCTCAGAGCAACGTCGTGTGCACGCACAGTCATGTCACGGAGGAAAGATTACGTGCCAAAAGTTTTTTTTTCGAAATCACATCCATGATCCACACAGTACACAAGTCACCAGTCGGTCACTGACAGTCACATCAACACGCTTGAGTTCTGTCACGGTAAACGGTCACATTTTTAGGGAGGAATGGAAAGTAACCAACTGATTCTGAAGCAAATAGCGTTCCCCTGTCTGGACCTATACAGAACACGCTTACTTTTGCTCGACGCACAGAACAAACCACTGCATGTCGGGCGATTATTTTTACCGAGTGACAAAAAACCCAAACGAGACTGAAAAACCGGAACAGCATAAAGAACACACGCTGGCAGAAATAATGATTTGGGACAAGACCTTGAACGCGAGTCGACGTCGCGTGTGGAACAAAGAGGAAAGGCGGCGATGCGAACTAACTAACTAATACTTACCGGATCGGCCATAACTATGCGTCCTAAATACGGAGCAACATGAATTTTACGTCAATCAGCTAGCTACCCGCTGGCAGTGAACGAGCGAAGCCAACACAAGCGGAAGGAAACGGACACTTGAGCAAAAGGCCCAGAGAAGGCGAGAGAAACTAGGCACAGGCACCGCGGACGGACAAGACTAGTAACCGTGAAAAACCAGAGAACAGGAGTGCTAACAAATGTCGTGGCCGTTATTTCTTTCATAGCACTAACGAAATCACTAGTACAGGGGATCCACGACCAACTGTAGAACTCTGCCGGGAGGCATGTACCCACTAACAACTCGTTATACTGTACTTACCCGACCGACTGGTGGGGGCTGGCTGCCGCGCGGAACAGCAGGCTTCGGATCGATCTAGAGGAGACGAGCACAAAGAAACAGCACGACATTTGCACGGAAAATACACGTAAGCCAACAGACAATACAAAAACAAGTCTACTCCACAGCACTCACTCAGGGGCCACTACTTCCCAGCCATTACTCCGCAGCTCCGTAACTACCGGTATCACTTCGATACCATGATTGCCTGAAAGCGAAGACGACGTGGAGAAGTATTCGAAATAGAAATCGTGCACGTTCATATCCAATAATTTATGATTTCAAATTTACCCAAACAGGGCTCAAAATAATTTATTGTACATCCAAGATTGTGGAAGGACGCACATGGGAGACAACATAAGGCAACGTGGTCCAAGTTTGACTGGGACTGCCAGGAATGGGAAGGAGAGGACAGCTTTATATAGAAGGCAAAATAGGGGAAGGAAAGGCAGAAAATTCCTGTCACAATTCAGCTTACCTTTCTACCATCCAAGAGGTGGCTTGCTGCCTTCAGGACCTTACCAACAGTGGCGGTCTCTCGAAACGTGACGAAACCAAAGCCACTGATGAGAGCAAACAACAAAAACACAACAGGAAAAAATAATCAAATCAAACACTTCAATTTTTTCAACATAGAGACCAACGTGGCACAAAAATGAAAAATTCATTATTCCAGGAAAATACGGGCATGCAGCGGGCAAAGCAAAGCAACTGTGGCGAGTAGATCTACGAAAACCAACTGTTCCCGATCAACTGAAGCAAAGCAGACCGATCAGCGCTGAAGGAAATGAGATAGCAAAGCGGGGAGGCAATGTCAGCTAAAAACTGACATTCTGGCTGAAAATTTTGGCAATCACAAGTGAATGCTCACCGTGAACGCTGGGTGTTGGCATCTCGCATAATCACGCAGCTCGCCACTTCGCCGAAGCTCTGAAAGTAACCAGTCAGACCATCTGAATTCAACAGAGAAAAGAGAAGAGAACAAACAGATTGGAAATTCACCAGAATCCAGATTTCACAGACACAATGCAGTACAAGTACAGCACTTGACTGGAAGCAAATACAATCAAAAAAAGCCTAATACTAGTAATAGGTTCATGTACTGCTGCATTGGCAAAGAGATTTCCCAAACCACGTTGTCTTGTTCAAGAGATCCGCAAGTGATAATCGTTTGAGGACGTCAACAGAACACACAGCAAGTCTGGCAAAGACGTTCACACCTCAGCACATCTACAAGTGAAAAAAGGCGATTCGACAGGAAGAGATTTGGTCCCACCAAACTCCAAAGGCACCCATCACACGTCCTGACTCAGTGAAGGCACCAGTTCTCGCACATAAACACGACGTACAAGTAAGAGCACATAAGACACACAGACTCGCATTCGGTGCCGACGGACAAACTCAACTGAGCAGTACGAACCCACGCACACAAGCACAAACGACCAAAGCAGGAGCAGCTGCTCAGCAGCTATCCATGGAATTGCAGCGCACAGGCGCAACACGTAACAACGACAGTACACACACACGCACAGAGGATTGCCACAGGGTTTTATTACTAGTAGTCGGCTCGTGCAAGAAGCAGCAAGCGCAAGTTGGTTCACTCACCTTCCTTCGTGTCCCAACTCAGACCACCAACAAAAATTTTGCTACCAAAGTTCAAACACAGCAGCAACAGCAGTCATAGAGGGAACAGAGTGAGCAGGCAACTCGCAGACAGAAGACAGGACACTGCACAAAGACAACGGTTCGGTTTTGGAAAACTATTTTTCGGCACTCACCCTTCTTCTTCCATGGCGTTAGAGTTACAATTCTACCTGTACGACCTATGGATTCAAGCTAGAGAGATATTGGCAGTGGATGGGGAGTGCTGTAGTTGATAGAAAGAGATTACGACTGACGGGGTCTTTAGACTTTACAGCTCAGCCCTTACTCTAGAGTTATCGCCTAACAAACAGTGAAACAATGAGCTTGGAAATATACTGCAGACGCTTTTGTACGAGACCCGCGAACACTCGGCATGTACATCTGGGCTTGGTGAGCCTGCACAAAAAGCTAGTTGACAGGACATGGTTCTGCCCTCCGAGCATCTCCGCATCGATACACGTGCCACATCCTACGATGACTACGATGTGGCACGATTTTGTTTGCGAAAGCTTCGAAAGGAGCAAAAACGTCACAAATGGATGCATGCTATGCATACGCACGTACGACTCCATCAAATAAGGCTGAGCGGCAGGCCAAAATGCGGAGTGCGCTGGTAATCTGGAGATGTACACATTTTCACGAAAGCGGGAGGCACGTCCATATTTGCTGGACGCAAGAGCAAGCCATTCGCTCAGCGCTTTCCAGTTCCGGAGGGAAAGGGAAAGGCGCAGTTCCACAGCTCCATGTGTCTGTTTATGGCTGCTATGATGGGCCTGAACTCCTTTCGAGGAAGAATGGAGGGATTACCATGATGTTTATGTCATGTAATGTCTTTATTTCAGTTCACCATAATGGGCAAAGACACATGCATGGTTGGTTAATATTGCATGCATGCTGTGGATCGTCAGTGACGTTCATGAATGACGCCAACTATGTCACAGATTACCTGATGGTGATGTCATTGATAATACATGTAGTACTTACAATACATGTATTAATTACAATGCTGCAGCAGCCGGCTGTGTGGAGCATGCAGGGAGTCGTCAAATACCGGTATTTGACGACCCCGGACTCCCTGGCGTGGAGTGTGCACAGCTACTGTCAGGTTGAGCATCTATCCGTTTTTGTTTCGCTCTGTAAAGAGCACTTTATAATAGGGTTAGGGTCCAGCGGATAATGCTTGTTTTGCTGGTGTCCCCTTTCTTTGGTTCAATGTCTTGCCATGTGTGTGTGAGACACTGCAGTGGCACTCATTTTATTGCATAGGACGCATGGTCTTCAATATTGTGGTTACAGGCGAACCTTTCGGCGGATTTTGCGAACACATCCGTCACATGTATGCCAACAGTAGATAGATGGCATCTTTGGCTTTATGTTTGCTGTTTCTGAAACGGGTATATCCAAGGAGTAAATGCTGAAACTTTTATAAGAATCTGTTTACCCATTGCTGAGATATGTGTGCTTGCGTGGGACGGTGCCGGAAAGGTGTAGCGCCACCTTAAGAGTAACTCTCCATCACTGTAACTGGATACTATATACAGTCAGAAAGTGCAATAACTAGGCACAAAACTGACAGAGTACTGAGACATTCGACGTCCTGACACTTGCACTTTCTGACTGTATATTATCCATTTACAGTGATGGAGAGTTACTCTTATTAATTAACTCGTATCCATATGTCCTGTTCTTTTCTACATTTATTTATGGCTCAACATCCGAATAATAATAATAATCGTCATGAAAACAGGATTCAGACCATTGTCATGATGTGGGCTGGGAGCGTCTGTGGAAATACAAGACAATAGTATGCAAGGGCGTGGTGCTTTCTTGCAGGTTTGCCTGGTGGTTTGCTTAGTGGAAGGTGCGACGTGCTCCTGGTGTGCTCCGGCTGGCAGTCCTGAGTCCGTCAAGTTTCAAGTTGGGCAGGAAGCGTGTGTTCCTCGTCGGAACAACCAACTAACCGTTCAATTCAGCAAAGATTCACTTCAAGGAAAGAACACTCTTAAACAGAGAGTTTTGGAATTCCACTCGGAGAATAATCTATACTGTGAGCAAGAGTATATAGGAGGGGGGGGGGGCTGTAAGTAACGAGCTTTTACTTAGAGTAATACCAAGAGTATAACAAAATCATTCTTCTTGCAGGAGATCCCCTCGACAGGCCCAAAGCCTTAGGGAAATCCTTAAATATAATAAAATACAAAATACAAATAATCTCGATCACCCCTGCTAACGTTATTACCCCCGCTTGTTTTTCGTGATCCATTGCTTCTTCCCTCCCCGGTTAGTTTCCAGCTAGCTGTTTCTGGCTAGTACCAGTTCTATCACACTTATCAATCGTCCTGGGCGTCACGCCATCGTGGAATAAAAGAATAAAAATAATAGAGGGTGGCTGACGGCAACAATGAGAACCATTGAATTTAAAACGGATTTATAGCAAAGAGGGAAACTGGTGAACGACATGATGAAACTAAAGCAAGGACAGAATCTGAGCACGCCACTTCAAGGATGACCAATCACAAAGACGAAAAAAGTTGTTGGGAGTTGCCCACTCGGGAGGGTGTCTGGTCTTATTGAGCAGATAAGACACAGCGAATCTGAAGAAGATACGGCGAATGACCAAGCCGGGACTGCGTATTCTAGCAAGGGTCGCACATATTAAACATTTTATCAAGTAAATTCACAGTTGCTGCGGAAGCAAATGGGCTATATGGCGCATCAGAAAACCCGACTGCGAAACTTATGGGCGATAGTGTTGATATGGGCAGGGAAAAATAGTGAAGGAGTGATAGTCACTCCAAGATGACCGTGACTATCAGCTTTCTGAATAGAAAGCAAATGGGCTATATGGCGCATCAGAAAAACCCGACTGCGAAACTTATGGGCGATAGTGTTGATATGGGCAGGGAAAATAGTGAAGGAGTGATAGTCACTCCAAGATGACCGTGACTACCAGTTTTCTGAATAGACACGCCATTCATTGTCAAGGGGGATGGGCTAGGGGCTAATGAATATTTTTGAAAGGGTAGGTGGACGCACTTGCTGGTGATAAACGTCATGGCCTTAGCTGCTGACCATTGACAACACTTATCAAAGTCAGTCTCGAGCAAAGCATGATGGATAGAAAGTGAAGTGTATGCTGGAGACACAAGGATTAATTAGAGTCATCAGCGACAAGGGAAAGGGTACTAGAAGCAGGGGCAGCAGGAAAGGAATTGATGCATAGCGGAAGCGGACCGAGATGGGAACCCTGGTGTACTCCAGGGGTGATGGGCAAAAGGTTAGAAAGAGTTTGGCCAATGCGAATGCAAATACTAGGATCATTTATGATCCAGCCGAGTCTCATGCGAACCGTGCATTATTTTGGATTTTTATGAAGTCCTTCACCCAAGAACAGGCAGAAAGAAAACACCAACCAGAAACAGATTGCACAACTATATGATGACTAACTCTGTCTTGGAAAAATCAAGGAACAGCTGATCACAAGACGACTTAGAGTCAAAAGGATGAGAAACAATTGAAATAAGCTGTACCAGTTGATCAACTGCTGATCTCTTTCGACAAAAAAACAAACAAACAAACTGAGTGTGGTGGTGATGGTGATGGTGGAAGTGTTGGTGGCAGTGCTGGTGGTAGCGTTGGTGGTGGCGTTGGTGGTGGCATTGGTGGTGGAGTTCATGCTGGTGGTAGTGTTGGTGGTGGTTGTGGTGTAATTATGGTTAGTCTCGAGTGACATTGCAGACCCTGGAAAGTACCAAATATGCAATAATTATGCAACCCCATTTGGAGCATCTCCACTGAAAATGGGCGCGATGAATCTCCCATTCGCCCATTCTCTACTGTCGACATGTCGGAGTTTGGTGGCTGATGCGCGGGGTAACCAAATATGTGATATTGATCACAGTCGAGTAAAGGCGCAAAGCTGCAACGATACATTTGTGGTCGGGTCGCCGCCTGTAGAAAGCGTACATACAAGGAAGATTTTTTGAACTTATGGCAGCTTGCGGTGCCATCGTGGCTTCTACTCTTGACTATTTTGGGAACAAGATTAACTTGCGTGCATTTTCATCATATTCGGACAACTGCTGCACGTACAGACTACAAGGGGGAGGCAACTCCGTCCTCCAGCGTGCGTGCAAGCCTTGCTGCATGCCTTATGCAGGCCCGTCGCACCGAGTATGGAGGTGGAGCGGCCATGGACAGGGGGGGGGGGGGTCCGGGGGGTCGTCCCCGGGGAAAAAATTCAAAAATAAGCCAATTGCAAGGATTTGCGGGCATTTGGTGCCATTGCAGTGTAACTAAAAGGAAAGACTTTTTGATCCTGCAACAAACCTTGAAGACGCTACAATCGGGGACAAACATTACCCTAGCTCCCCGGGGAAAAAATGACAAAAATTGAAGCCAATTGCAAGCATGTCCAGGCATTTGGTGCCATTTCAGTGTAACTGCAATGAAAGGCTGTTTTGCAGGATCGGGGACAAGGATTTGCCACGTTTGCGCTGAGCTGCGTGCGATCATCGATCTTTGTTGTCATGCAGTGAACGTGTGCTCCTTGGCCTTGTAATATTATGAACTACATGTACATGCACGTAGGGTTTCCATAGCTCACTGGATTGATATCTGAACCGACCTTCACATTCCCTCTTTCCTTTTCTGGTCTCCTAAATTGTATTCCCCACTGGGTCCATTGGTATTAGGCTTATGAATGTTTTGATTCCCACCATAAATAAAGTATAAATCAACAACAACAACAACAACAACAACAACAACAACAACAACAACAACAACAACAACAACAACAACAACAACAACAACAACAACAACAACAACAACAACAACAACAACAACAACAACAACAACAACAACAACAACAACAGCAGCAGCAGCAGCAGCAGCAGCAGCAGCAGCAGCAGCAGCAGCAGCAGCAGCAGCAGCAACAACAGCAACAACAACAACCGCCTCTGAGAGCATAACTTTGGGCTTGGGGGTTACCTGTTACACATAACGAGAAGGGAGAAGCAAAGCTGCACAGCTGGGAGTCTGCGACGCAGCTTTTCACTCTATCAGCGATCATGAGAGAGCATTGCCATTGATGCATAATGTGTCCCTTCACAGTTTCAACGATTACTCCCCCCCCCCCCGACCTGCTTGAAACAAAATTTAATAGCAAGCAAGCGTTTAAATCAATGGCGTCTAGCCTCATTCTATCATCCATATGTAGGGTGCACCGGGTAATGGCGGTATTGTATTCGGCATTATGGCATTATGGGACTATCCGAGCATCATTCAGAGCAGTATGGAGCATTAGAAAGAAAAAAACTATAGCA